TTCATTTTGTTACAGTATTTTGTTATACACTTAGTAGAACTGACTCAATACCAATGGCTAAATTATGACTAAATACCACTGGCTAAGTTATCAAGGTATCTGATTTTATAACTCTATCTAAACGTGTGTTGCTCTTTCGTAGGCTCACTTACATATTGCAAATTGTCCATTTTTTAAAATATTCTAGAAAATGTCAACTTACATCGTTGTTTGGCCTAAAGTCAAATGTACCAAATGCTTTGTTAAATAATTGGTCTAAGACTGGAGAACAAAGTCATCCATCACCAAGTCACGGGTTTTGTTTTGTTTCCAATAAATTCTTTCAGTGTAATTTCCTTTGGTAATAAATCTTAAATCTGTGATATTCAATAACATTACACAGTGTTGAATTTGCTATGTGTGTTTAATGTAGGCTAAATAGCAATCTGAAAACCAAGGGCTTACACAAACCTCTTACAGCGTTTTCGAATGTATAATGGACATGAAATATTTAAGATGTGAGCCAGCTACTGTTCAGCTGAAGATGAAACTTCTGTTATTCCCCCAGTGCTCATTATCAAGTTTGCTGAACTTTCCTCAGAAGCAGCTGGTGCTGGGCAATGCCTGATGAAATGAACAGCCTGGCTTGTCACATCACAAATCCGTCTCTCAAGTTCAGAGTGGGTCACAGAGCAGAAATCAACTGTTTCATGGTGCAGGAACTGCTGCATGAGCCACATTTTCAGCCTTTGTATAAAACCCCACATTACTGCCCCTGACTGAGGATCGTGGCCCTAGAGAGCCAGGTACCAGGTGCTGGGGATGAGCAAATGGGGAATAAGGCACATCAGTGATGCAAAGGCACCTCAACAGCCGGTTTGGGAAGGTATGGTCCATTTTGTAGTGTGAATCAAGAAATCTGAGAATCTAATTCCCATTATATTAACCCTCTCTATTGTTTTTTGGGTTTTTTTATCTGTTTGTTTGTTTGGTTGGGGTTTTTTTAAAATTTATTTAAATTGCTTGGAAGGTGGATCAATTACTAAAAATTCAGTTTCACACCCTCACAGAGACATAAAGTCAATTAAAGAATAAATAGAAATATCTTTGGATAAGTTCTGACTTTCTTGTGTTTTAAGATCTTATTGAGTCAAAATGTTACCAGAAGACAATCCAGTTTTCAACATTTTTTTGTTGAAATTATTGAGAATTTTACTGATCCTATAAGATTTTCAGACGAAATATGATGACCATTTTATCTCAAGTTTTCTGAAACTGTCCCACCAGAACTGAGTCCAGGTTTAGCTGGAAAAAATATTGTGATTTTTTTCCCCCTAAAATAGCAGTATGAACCCATTTTCTGTTGGCCTAGATCCCAATAGCAGTGTTACCAAGGTGTGTTAAGGCAGAGACACAACTCCAGAGAAGTTCACGGCCACCAGATCCATGACTGAGTGAATCTTCAAGTCTCTCAGGAGATTTGCTATCATTTTGTAAGGTGAAGACAAGATCCAAGGGCAGCGAATGAAAACATTGGCCTCTCAAAAAGACTTGTCAGGAATTTCTGGAAAACCTGCAGCATTTCAGCAGTGCTTACAAATTGCTAATGTCATTTTGTGACAGACTGCAAATAATTAAAAATGGCTAAATATGCTGCTTGTAAATGGGCTTGTTGAAAACTTTGATCACAGACAGAAAGGAATTCTTTTAAAAACCTACTGTTAACAGTAGGTAAAAAGTTAATGAAAAACTTATAAATAATTAATTTTTCCTCTAGAGCCAGAAAAGATTTGTTGTTGATGTTAATGGACTCACAATATATGTTGTATTGTCTTTTCTGAAGTAAGCACTGAATTACTTGATCTCCATACAAAAGAAAATAATTTATTGCACCAATAGCTTTATTAGTGTTTGTATTCCCAGAAAACAATAATTTCCTGGGTTAACTAAAGCAGCTTGCCTTGATGATAATACATAGCATGACACAGCTAAATTGACACTTCAAAATAAACAGGATACTTTAAATCAAAAAAACTGTTGAAGAAAAATTTGCAAAAAGAGTCTGGCACTTGATATTTTCAAGAAAGCAACTGCAAAGCACAGAGAACTATTTCAGATGACCCAATTGTAATTCTGCATTTAAATATGTTTCCTTCCTCCACATGATGTTTTTTGAAGCAGCAGCAGCAGGAGAAGCAACGCCCTTCCTTTACATGCACATATCATATGCAGAGTCATCACAGTCTGAAGGTCATTCAGGTCAAAAATACTCACAGGATCCCAGTTGTTCAGATGTGGTCATTCCACAGCTGAACTGAAAATATCCTCTCCCTACTTTATTTGATAAATGTTTTGGCAATATTACAATAATCTCTCATTTGACATTATGATATTAAGTAGTGTGACTGCTCTCAGTTGTCCTATTGAAAATAATTCCTTGATAGTTCTGATGAAGGTATAAATTTCATACAAGCTTGCTGAGTATGCGTCATATTAGAAACTGAAGCAAGTACATCTCATGGACAGTAGTGATACCTTGGTATAAACCAGAGGATAGCTTGGGGATAGGTAACAGGTTTAAAAAAAAACACAGAAAAAATTGTCAGCCAAGTTCTTTCTGTAAAAGACAGTCAGCTCCTGGTACAGCTTCATTCATGTGTGACAGACACCACTGATATTTAATCATTATAAATGTACAGGACCTACTGATACTCTTGCTTCTGATGGAAAAGTTGCACCTTGGCTATCTGATGCTATTAATTTCCATTTATAAGTAAATATAAGGGAATAAATGTATTAGAAGGAAAGATTTTTGGGGTGTTTTTCTAAGGGGTAAGATAGATTTTTGAGGGTAGGGATTTACCACCATTCAGCTGTAGAAATATACATTAGCATCTAATGTATATTTCTATAGAATCTAATCTAAAAGCCACATAGAAAAAATAAAACCAAAACCAAAAAACAAAACAAAACAAAAAAAAAATCCAAACTTAAATATCCCCAGTGAGCATTTTGTTGCACGGATTTTTACAGGAGGGAGCTCTGACAGGGCTCACAGCAGGGATGCTGTGCCATACCCATACCACTATAGGCCTTGTTCTAAGCTTCTGCTTATCCTCAGCCTTGCAGTAAGGAATATTCCCCCATCTCCACATATCCTGTAACAGAATGACCAAGTTCTTCATCCAGTCTCAGGATCCTCACCCTGCAATGTTACACTGTCCTGCCTCCAGGCAAACCTTTGCAGCTCAGGTAGCAGATTGTGTCTCCTCTGGGCATCTCTCCCCGAAAAGGAAAGCATTTTAAATTTCAGGAGCACCAAGCAGGAGCGTGAGGAAGTTGAACGACTTCATCCTATTTTTCTTTCCCCCTATGGAGGTCTGAAATAGCAGGAGGTGTTAACAGCTTTTATAAGTTTGTAAAAACTCGAAGTGCTGATGGAGTGGGGGGCAGGTCTCACATAACTCCAGCAACTTTTCCTCTGCAGGAGGAGAAAATCTTAACTGTCTTTTCGCACAAGGGCTGTCACTCATCTTCATTTCAGGGACCCCAGCAGATTGTCTCACCACATTAACAGACACATTTTAGCCTTTTTTTTGGCTCCTGTGAAAGCCATTTCTCTACTGATCCAACTGTTAGCAGGTCTTTGGTCATTTGGCAGGGCAGGGGAAATGCTTCATGCAATACCAGCCACATCATCCTTGTTTGTGCCTCAGGCTATAGAAGATGATGTGCCTTACCCACGTCAGCTGAGCTGGTAGGCTTGTGGCTTTCCAGCTCTTTTTTTGCAGAATACCACCTGTGTGTCACAGATACCTCTAATCATCACTGAAAAACATTTGTACCAGAAATAAGCTCGGATGGAGGCTACAGTAAGTCTAACACATCCAAGAGCAAGAAATCCTGCAGCATTTATACTTGCTGCAAGAATCATTTCTGGGACTTTGTGACATGCTGATCTCCACATCTGGCTGTGGCATGCACCTCAGCTTGTCCATGGATGTTGCTATTTCTAGGTTTCTGCTTTTCAGGCTTGATGGGTGCAGCTGCATGAGACCTAGCAACAGATCTGTAAGAGCAAATAATATCAGTCCTAATGGGAATTAAATTAATATATCTTTTACAGGCCACAGCTGCTCTACTGGTGCTGCTCCCCATACAGAAATACTGTGAAAAATGTTCCCCATTTCCTTTCTTATGACATGCAAGGCAGACATTTTTTATTCTTTATTATGTATCTGTTTAGCTATGTCTTACACAGAAAGCAGCCTGGAAAAGCATCAGTCAGAAATAATAATAGAAATAATGAAGAATTACGTGATGAGGGCTTACCAAGCATATTCTAGCATGTACCAGAGAAGCAGTGGCTGGGAGTCACACACACTTTCATCTCTGAACGAGCTCTCCATTCCCTGAATTCACCAGGTGCCCAGCAGATGGTGGTGTTATTTCAACTACTTTGCTCTGCACTCCCTGGGAAGCAGCCAGGCTGCGTGGAACAACTATGGGAAAGTTGTTTCAGGATTTCACAGCTCACAGAACTGCACTTACAGGTTATTTTCTGCAGCATCCTGATATTCCTTCGTGTAAAAATAAATGTTACTGATAGATATCAGCCTTCCAGTACCTAAAGGGGACTTACAAGGAGGCTAGAGAGGGACTTTTTTCAAGGGCGTGTAGCAATAGGACAAGGGGGACTGGCTTAAAAATGACAGAGGGCAGGGTTAGATCAGATATTAGGAAAAAACTCTTTACTGTGAAGGGTGGTGAAGGAACTGGTACAGGTTACCCAGAGAAGCTGTGGCTGCCCCATCCCTGGAAGTGTTCAAGGCCAGGTCAGATGTGGTTTTGAGCAACCTGGTGCAGTGGAAGGTGTCCCTGCCCATGGCAGGGGTATTGGAATGAGATGAGCTTTAAGGTCCTTTCCAACCCAAACAATTCTATGAGATATTAAATTAAACATTCTTACAATTGTCTTGATGAAAATCCTGGTGAGAGGAGGAAGATCGTCTTCTCATAAGCAGGAAGAAACATTTCTTTGAAAGATCTCTTTTCCAGAAATTTCAATTTCCTACAAGCTGCATTCCAGCCATGATCTGGTAGTGTCATTATCTCCTTCTGGAATTTCCAGTCTTCTCCACAGATTATGTAGGATAACCTAATTACTTATGCTCTTTACCAGCAAAAAGCTGTCCCTTTCTTTTTCAGCTCTTGTAACATTTAATTTTTCTTTGTTTCTGCCCCTTCTGAGCAGATATTTCATTATATTTGCTGAATCTCTTCCATCTCTTTTCTGCAGCCTGTATTGTGTCCTTTTCTTTCTTCTGGCCACATCTGCAAACAGCACCTCATCTCCTGGCTCTTTGGCTGTCATGGAGTAGGATCCCACAGAAGAGTAGTAAACCGCATCAAAAATTTGGTGGTGTTTCTGCCTTTGGATGGGAGCTAGAGAGGGGGAAGAGAACAGAAAGAGCATTTTTAGGAGTCTCTCTAGACATCAAGTTGTACTTGATCTTTTTGCTTACTTTAGAAACTGTTATAGCCATTGCAACATGACATAGTCAGTCACCAGCTGGAAACGATCATCCAAAGGCAATTTGAGAAATTTGGCTGCTCAGTTAATAATATTCAATTATTTGTGGCCTGACAAAATACCTGGAAACTTTCCAGATGTTTAAGGAAAGACATGTTTCAGTGCAGAATTTCTGAGCTGCTCCCATGTACTGAGTTAGCTGGCATGTATCTTCATGAATACTTTATATGAACTCAAAGTCCGAAACATGATGCAAGTAATTTTTCTGATGTCAGCAGGAGCAGAAATTTGTCACACTTGCTTAGGTCTCAGTGCTTCCATATTACAGTGCTAAGAAAGCAATAACTTACTGTGAATATTTCATATTATCTACAAAAGTTTAGGACCAAACCTATTTCTTGGATATTGGAACACCTTTAGCAAGATCTTGGAGTCCAAGCAACTTCTGACATGGGTGCCCTTAATGACCTAGAGTGAAACAGAGTCCAACACAGGCATGTATCTATGCCAAAATACTTTTGAGAACACTATTTCTTCCACTGTTCCATCATGAACTGAGCTGCTGCCCTTTTCATGTCCGTAGTGGCCTCATCCCAGCCAGACTTGGTGTGGGTGGAAGGCAGGGCCAGGCTGGCCACCCTCCAGGCAGTCAGTCTCTGCTGTTGCATCCTTCTTCTCCTGGCACTGCAGAGACACGAGGCACACCAGACAGGCAGTTCCCTGGTGTCACAGGCTGCAAACAGCAGCTGATCTCTCCCAGAGAGCGTGGCTGCTGCCGTATGGCTGCAAACCTGCTCACCACCGAGCTGCTCCAGAGACAGGAGCCAGCATCCTCTCATCACCCTTTAGGGTCTGACAGTTTCCAGGGATGAGTGCTCCTCCAGTTGCACTGCCTCACAGAGGTCCCACAAGCTGTTATTCCTATTCCCTGCCTCTTCCCAGGGAAAGAGGCTCCATGTCAGCAGTGTTTTTCTTGAGCTCCATGACTCCACCTCCAGCCAGGTTGCTCAAAGCTGGCAGTGCATTGCAGCCTCTGGCAGTTCTGGCCTTAGTGGGAGCTCTCCAAAATCTCAGAATTTTGGGCCACCCACTGTGCAGATACAGCTGAAATCTGTGGTCAGAACCCAAAACTCTGTTACATGTGTGTTTCCTCAAACACCACACCCCATGCCCAAGCAAGGGGGAATTACTACTGCAGAGCTGTAGCCTGGGTTGCAGTTCTCCCAGGCAGACAACACTCACATCCACTTAGCCATGCAGAGTACGGTATCAAAATGTAAGAGACATGAGAATGAGACTGCTTGAGAAGTACAGAGTATATTTTTTGTAATATAGGGCAATTTATATGTAAAATATCTGTAATCGAAAAAAAGAACACCTTAAATACAATATTCAAAATCCAGCAATAAAAATCCTGTATCTGGCAATGATAAATCAGCACATTAAAAACATGTCATGCAGAAAGCAGATGCTCTTTGCGGGGGAAACAAGGTTTGTAATGTGGAGGTAAAACAGTGGTGACACAAACAGGATCAGTCACACACAGTTTGTCCGTGTCCCAGCAGTGCCAGGATGGGAGCTGAGGAGGTGCAGGAATACTTCACACTGCAGTGTGTTGCTATGGACACCATGACCTCTTCACTGGGGCTGCCAGGACTGCGGGTTTACAGGGCTGGACCCCATACTGTCCCTAAAATAATGGGAGCTTCTTGCTGGTCACGTTGCAAATTCTGCCAAGTTGGCTCTAATAAGAATAGCCCAGTAATTTCTTTCTTCTTTGTGTTCCAGGACCCAAATCACTTCATTTTCAAGTGGTTGAAAATAATTCATAAACTAATCAAGCTTTACCATACACACCAGTATGAAAATTACCTTTGAATCTTACATGTCCTTGGTCTTTTGGATGCCCTTTTCCTGCACTTGATCACTACACAGATGATCAGAAGCAGCTTTTTCTGTAACCCAAGGATAGGTAAACTAAGAAGATCTCTCAAAATAGAAAATATAAGCAGTTCCCTTAGAGAAAAAGCACCCAAATAATGCACAAAAGAGAGTGGAATAATGCGCATTATACAGCCACGAGATCAGCCTGAAATGAACTTTAGGCAACTGTGCAGGAACTGAGACATTTCAGTCATACAATGCAAAGAACAGGGTCACAAGCAAACTTTCATGGGAATTAGACCTTCATATATCTTATTGTGTCTGTGTTTGATTAGAGCAATGGGCTGAAGCACAAGAGCTTTGCCGGTATTTTCTTCTCCTTTTTTTTTTTTTTTTTTTTTTAGTTAAATCTATTTCCAGAGATTTAAGATGGAAGGTTTAGATGCTGGAAACCACCTATGCCATCAAGCAGTCTCAGTCACAGAAGACTCAAACATGTAATAAATACAGTGTGCAATTTAACAGGATTATCAGAAACTAATAGTTAAGCTTTTGTTTTGCTAAATGTTCACCCATCCTTTATTAAGTATTTCTAATTACCAGGATTTTAATGGTAATGTTTAACAGCCCCAGAACTCCAGGGTCTTTTAATATCTGCCACAACAGAGTTTTCAATTATCGTAATTCTGTCCTTAATTTCTGTCATCATAATTATCCTTCGTTACAGCAACATTCTTAGATCTGATTCATCAAAGTGAAATTTTTCGTTTTTTCACTTGACTTGCAACTCAAACTGGGATTTAACCTCTCAGTCATTTCACCCTATATCTTCAATGAACAGAAAAAATTCACTTTTCTGGTTTGCCACATGTTCCGGTTGCTGTATCAGTGGAGGGGACATACCGTCAAAACTAAGTGAAAGGTTGAGTATGCATTACAATTTATTACAGTTTATACAATTCTTATAATAATAGCAGGAGCAGTACAGGTTAGAAATCTCTAATATTTTCAACAGTCCCTCATATCACAGCATGGCTGACCTTCATAAACCTAGCTCATAACAAAAAAGTATTTGTAGTAGATAACAGCCATCTCTCTGATAATTCACCTATCTTACAAGAGCAATCCATTTGATATGCTATTAATTACATTAAAAAATACTGAGATACCAGTAAGCTACAGATCTTAATTTATTTAAATTGCTTATATGCAATTCATTTTCGAAGTGCCTCAATGTTTGCACTTGAAAAATGTGATCAGCCTACAAAAAAATTTAGATGTTCTCAGTGTCTGATCCTGTAGCCTGCACAGGCTCTCTGTGACCTCAGTTTGATGGCAAAGCAGGATGGAGTCTGTCTTCCTCGAAAATTGGCTTTCAAGCCCACTGAAACAGGTCACTGCAACCAGTGGGGCGCCGCTGCATCGAGTCATTCCCCACCTCACCTTGCGCTTATTGAAGTCAGTTTTATTGCTGATTTTGTGGGAACAGACTCCAGCTCTCCATCTCTTTGTCAGTGTGCTTTCAAAGTCCCTTCTGCAGTGCTTCATCCAAGTCAAGAACTCAATTTCACAAATTCAGATCAGGAAGACTGCAAAACAAATATAGCTGTGACAAGAAAATAATGATAAATTGTAAGGTGCTGTCTATTACTTCAAGTACTTCTGTGATATTTGCTCTCTTAAGTCTGTGTAGCAGCCTCAGCCTAGAAGGTTTCTGAATTAAAACTAGAATATAAGAAACACTACATATAAGGTTTTGATAGAGCAAAATAACTGGCAATCTCACTATCTTTAATAGAGAAAAATAACTGGCAATCTCACTTTCCTCTTCTATAATTTCCCCGTAGGACGCTGTGTGGTGTAAGGGATTAAGCAAGCCCTAGTAGGCAAATGAGCATTGGAGTAGCTGTGGAACTTTGGACCAGTCACTTGACCTTCTTCTGCTTCATTCAAGCGAGCTGGAAAATTAGAGGCAGCACAGAGCCAGAATGAAAACTGGACGTTGCTTATAGCAGTATTTTCTGGAAAGGTAAATTGCAAACCATAATTTTGTAACAGGCAGTTTTGTTCAGTGCTGTAATGTTTGTGGTACATGCAAGCAGCAGTTCTATATATACACAGAGTGCAATATAAATTTATGAAATTTATAGATGCATGCCTTTGGTTTTTGGCTGTGTGCTATGCACTAAAGAGATCTTCTTGCAACTGCCTAATATCTACAGATCATAAAAGTGTAGTCCATACTCAATTGTTAATTAATCTAAGACCTTCTCTTTAGATTTTTATTAATTTTAATGCAGCTGGTTGGTGGGCGAAAGACGTGATTTATATGAAGTCTGCACTTAGCTCATTGCAAGAGGCTTAAGCTCTCAGCTGTAACATAACAGGGGAGGAGGCTGGGAAACTTATTTTTTTTCTCTTGTCTGCATGCTTGTTCTTGGTAATCTCTGCACAGTCTCACCAGGAGGGGATAGAATCATCCCTGTTCTTGGTTATTACTGGTCTTGATGATCATCCTGGTCATTTTTGTCATTTCTGCTTTTGGTCATCATCCTTTTTCAAGCAAGCTGGAGTAGATGATCTTCAGAGTTTCCTTCAACTGACATTTCTAGACTCTCCTGGTCTTGCCTGCTCAGGGGTATAAAATCATCTTAGGTGTGATGGCATCATCCCTGAGCATAGGCAATAGCTGGTCCTCAGGTGCCTTATTTAAAGAGGTTGTCTTGGGGACCTGGAGTTCACTTCAGTTCACATTTGCCTGGGAACTCTTTTGGGGGTGCAAGTCTGGATTTATGTTTCACTCACCACCTCTCTAATTGCCTTTGATCCAAAAGCTGCAACTGATGTAAGTGGGAGATGGTGAAACATATTTATACAAAAAAAAAATAAACTGTGGATACTATAAAATATATTTTCAATCTAAGATGATAGTTGACTTCTTAATAAAATTTTCTGTCTCAGATAACTGTTCCTGAGCTACTGACAATGCAAGAATAGAAGTTTGAAAATCTTCCAGTTGTCACAAAGGCAGTAGTAGGATAATATTGGCACTGAGATCTACCTTTATCAGATCAAAAAGATTTGATTTAAACTCTATATGTAACTACCTCATAACTATATAAATATATATTTTAGAAAGTCAAGTACACCAAATAAATACGTCAGAGTGAGAATAACTAAGATAGTGTATGAAAATATCAATAACACCACCTGTATGTACCCACTGTAGTGGGAAATCAGGGCCCTTATGTTATACTGCAATCTACAGCAAGGATGAGGATCTCCATTTCCTGATGGCATTTTGAGAGCCTGTCCCTGTACAAGCTGGTGATCCTTAACTTAATCCTTTTAAGAACTGTCTAGATTAAAGTAAATTGATGTCCATGAAAGGGTAAGTAAATGCATGTGCTTTAACTTGCTTGTTTTCACGCAGTCCCAATGTAACTGCTCCTTACCTCCATAAGCTTAAGAAAGATCATGACTCGACTGTTGCCTATTTAAAATCTCCAGGAAATTATTAGCTAGCTTAGAAAACAAAATGAGAAAATGTCATTTGCATCTAGCTGGTCTTTGGACCAGCTTTGTGCTGGAACTCTTGCAATGTAGAGGAATGCGTAATTAAAAATTATCTTACTAGGCTTTAAAAATATTTACTGAAACTGCTTTTACTCACACAATATTACCCATTCCTCTCCAGCTTGGGTTTCTAGTGAAAACATGTTGAAATCCAGGGATGATCAAAAGAAGCATCATAAAGTAATGTCCAAACCTAAAGTAAATTTGCAAGCAAGTTATGTCTGTCCTGGATGCCTTGACTCATGCTAAGCATTGCAACACAATCCTCTGGTTATAAACCGTCTTCCCAACACCTTCTGTACTATGGAAGCAAAAAACCATCATTCTTTTCTTTACCTCTACTTGAAGCAGAATCAGTGGCTCGTAAAACCTTGAGTCCTGTATGGGGAAAGTGTCTAAGCTCGTGCTCAGAGTCAGCTGCGTTGGGAAACTCTTGAATTGCAGGAGTCCTTCACAGCTGGAATTTCTATTTCATCTGGTGGAACTGAATGAGTGCACTTTATCCAAGCAGTAATCTAAGCCCCTAGAGGCAGGCAAATTCTACAAGAGAATCAAAATTTGGCTCTGTGTGGAGAGTTGGCTCTGGTTTGAGTTACCTTTATGAACACAAGTGCATATTTCAATCTCTGCAAGCACATATGGTATTGGTCGGCAATTAGGCATCCCTTGACAAGGTTATTTGTCTTCAGAGTCAACAAATACAGCATGATTAACCTTTGAGTAGGTAAAGAACAAATATATTAAAATTTCTTATCTAAAATTATTTACTTTAACACTCACAGAAATGTAATCACACCATAATTTAATAAAATAATATTGAAAGACCCAACCAAATATCAACAAGGCATGTTTTCCATCTTTTGGCTGCAATAACTTACAGGCCAAGCATAAAACCACTAAAGACAATGGAAAACATTAATCCTTTTCCCTTTTTTATTACCACGAGATTGTTTTGCCTTTTGTTACCTCAGTGTCTTGTCTAGTCTAGTCTCCAGTGTTCCTGACTATGAGACTTCTGAAATAACTTAGCAATAAAATAGATACTGCTGTAAAAATTTTCTATTTGCTATATATTGACATTTGTCAGACATTTCACTCTTCTTTTATTAACAAGACGTGCATAACTGTAAACCTTAACCAATTTCTTCTTTGCAGGGCTTTTTTATTAAATACAGTGAAAACAAAGATTTTTTCAATGTCATACTACAATTAACATTTGGTTATGATCAAGATTGATAAAATTTAACTAGTTACATTTACAATCTTTGAACTAATGTCCTGTCTAATAAATCATATTTTTTGTGTCCTTCTTCTCACATTTCTGTCATTGATAAGAAGTAGCTAATCTGTAGCTACTGAATCTGTTATTCATAGGCATGTTTTCAAATGGAGCTGTAATAAACAAATATTTTCAAAGGAGCTTTCCTTAACAAGATATTAAATGTATTTTTGCAAATTAAACCATATATTAATAAAATCATGATAAAGGCAAATATGCCAACAGTCACAGGCTAGCCAGTCCTGCCCCTGACTGACTGAGGGAAAGTTTTGCTGCTTTGGTAAATATTAAGAGTAGAGTTTGAAAAACACTAATTAGTGTGCACAGCCCCTATTGATGCTCAGAAAGACATGACTTTCAAGGTCACTCAGTCATTTTTAATTATTTCACCCTTAGTCTTTACCAGGATACTCACATCGCTATTTTTTTCAGGGGAAAAAATGATGTGTCATGTATTAAGAACTACTCCAATGACTGAAAAATCCTGATCCATCTTATTTAACTATTTTAAACCTTTCATTAGAAGAGATTTGCCTGACATTTGAACAAGGGGATCCAAATATTCCTTGGATGCTGCTCCCTGCATAGATGGGGAGAAAAAACTCTGTAGTTCCCTCTCATAATTAATGCAAAACAGCTAATCTTCCTCTGACTCCAAAACACCTTTGCCTGGGCACAAAATGAACTGTCACTGGAAAAAAATATCATAAATAAAATATGGTTTAAGTATATGTAGCAAATAACATATATAATGCTTTAGTAGCAAGAACAGAGTGAATGACTGCTCATAGAAGAAAAGTGCTGTTGTTATGATCAAAATCAGAGTAAAAATGAGTGTCCCAGAATGGATTCCTTATTGGATGTAAAAAACACTACCTGTCCTTCCCTGGGGAACAGTAGATTACCTGTTTGTTTTTAAGGGAAAAAGCCAAAAGACAATAAAGAGGAATCATACAAACTACCAGCAGTGCAACAGTGAGAGCTGGGCACGTACATCACATAATGCCTTGTAAGCTGACAACTGAAACTGATAAACACCATCAGACCATACCTCTGTCCTCCCACTGCTCATCCTAGTACTGCCTAAGAAAAAACAGAGTCTAGTTATAAGAACACAGAAATCACTGTGCTGAAGCAGTGGATAGTCAGTGATTGAGGGAAACACTGAGCTAAAAGTAGGATTTCACAAAGAAGAATTATTTTTACTGTAATTATCATAAGAAGAAAAATGAGCTATGTGAGTGGAAGGAGGCATGTTGTATCTGGAGATAATGAAATTTCAATTCACCTGTGTGATGGAGGCTTATAAAATACTGAGGTGGAAACATCTGTTGAAAAAAACTGCCCCATGACTTGCCTTATAATCTAGACTAAAGGTCTATTTCCAGCTCTGCCACTAGCACCACCATGGCACAGGATGAGCCACCCAACTCTCCTTCACCTCTTTTTCCAGCTCTGAAAAATGGTTTAATAACACCTATCTCACAGAGAAGTTGTGAGCTTGCATTTTTCAGCCAGATTGGGGACGGCAGGAAAACACGTTGAGGTAATTGACTGATAGTTGCAAAGTGCTTTGAATGCAAATATCAATAGACCCGCTTTATTCAGGATTTCTTATCTTTAATTTCCCATTTACAAACATGTGGCAAGTTTCTTGCTTGCAGAAGACATTTTTAAAGGAAGTTTACAAGCAGTAGCATATCAGAATGTCTGAACAGGGTGGATTTGTTTGGCTTCTTTCAGAGTTACTGTTTACAGCTCTTACCACTGAAGTCTCAAAAATGCAAGAAAACAAATATAAATGCTCATTCAGCTTTAAAAGCATTTGGAAGACTATTGCATGATTGTCTTCTCCTTGCATTGAAGAGCCTTGTTGTCTTTGGTGATTTTTCTTCTTTCCATTTCTGTCTTAATCTTGTGCTTTTATCGGTTTTAGCTTTTTAACCTTGTTTTTGACTTCTTCCCCTCTAAGTGCACGCACTTACCTTCTCTCAGTTCCCCACTCCCTCTCAGGGAATGAAATGCACTGCGGATGTCCAACACAACGGCTCGTGTATCAATCAAGGTCAAAGTCTTGCAAGTCCTGTGATTTGCCAAGTGTTTAGAATTCCTCTTCTGTCCCTGAAATGCTGCTGCTGCACTGGGAGGCCTGTGGGTGTGAAAGATTCTGATGGCAGCAGAAGTCTCCCAGGCACTCCCACAAAGAGTGCGAAAGGTGGGACACAGCAAATCCACCGGCACCAACAGTGACTCCTACTCTGCAGAAATGTTCCCAGGGAACATCTGCTCTTTCTCATGGATTTGCAGAGATGGGTTCCTCCCTTTCCAAACAGAAAACCAAGTGACCTGGCAAATCTGGCCTTTGGAGGGTGTAAATGCACTGAGGATCTGGTGTGAACCCCATTAGCAGTAGGGTGCAGCCAGCGCTGCCCGGAGGGGCCCTGAAGTTCACCATGACTTTTGTTGCAATTTGTTTTCTAATCTGCTGAGCAAATTTCAACATGACCTGGCTGGTGCTCCTGAACACTCACAGCCGTGGTTGTCACTAAAACAAGTACAGGCATTGTTCTCATTAGTCAAATACTGACCCACATGTTATTTCTCCTGGATAGGCTCACATAGTCATGACTATATTTACACAAAAAAGAACCAAGATGTGGATCAAGTCCATTTCCTTTCTACAGGCTGTTGTGTTTTCTGAAGGATGTAATATTCCCTTTGGATAATCTAGGACAAACCTTTAGGGGTTTAAACAAAAGGCCATTATGGCTTTAATAGGGTAAAAGACCATTTTAAATACCACACTCCTTTGTGACCCTGATTCAAACACTTAAGTAAAGACTGGTCAGCTGTAATAATATCATAGGATCATAGAATCATAGAATCAGATGGGTTGGAAGGGACCTCTGAGATCATCAAGTCCAACCTTTGATCCACTATCACCATGATGAGTGCTTTGTCACACTGAAGTACACTGAGTCTTCATCAAAGCTCCTGTTTTACACTGTATTTTCAAGGTCCCAAAATCTGAAGTTCTATCAACAGGTGGCACAAGTATGTAGCCTTTGATTTCAAATTGTGATGTTGCTTTTGCTAAATGGAGGTACTTTTGAGACGATTGTGTTCCTGCTCCAATAATCTCTGCTGTTGCTTGTTTCTATCAAACCCTTTCCCTGTGATGGAGTGATTGCAGTTTCTTCCAGTTCAGGAGCATTGTTACAGAGACTGGTTAAAACTAGTTTTGACGTGCATGAATTTCTGACTCTTGTTTCCACATGTCACTAATCATCTTATTTGATCTTTGAAATGAAGGGTCATTGTGCAATGTTGTTCCAGAAGGCTTCAAAGTCATTGATCAAGAGATATGAATCCATCACTGTGTGTAATTGGGTGTGAACTGTCATCATCCCACAACTGGCACTTTGGCAACATCAGAAAGGATGCCCTTTTACTTAAATAGCCATCGCAGCAGGATCTTGTGTCTTGATAATGCACCTTTTGCTAAGTGAGAACGCAGAAGATGGTCTGACAGAGCTGCTCAAAGCAGCAAGGAGCAACCTTTGGGCGTGTTACACAGGCTCTCATGATACTACAAGTCTTCTCCATCATTAAAATAAACTAATTTATGGTCATAATGTTGAGTAGCCAAGTACTCCTGCAATCAAAATTGCTGCACAACAGTATCCAGAGCTGCCAACCTGAGGTTTTTCAG